TTACCATACTATTCGTGATTCGCAGTGTAAACCTTTAGGCCGGGTCTACAATAGGTGTAGTAAGCCTTAAGCCGTAAGAAATTGATCAATCACAAGCGATTATTCTCCTCACTTCAGACTGTGATTGGTCAATTTGTTACAGCTTAAGGCTTACTACACCTATTGTAGACCCGGTCTTATCCGTTATCACAGGACTTGTATCGTAAGTCTACTAATTAGTCAAGTTTCAATATTAATAAAAAAAACCACTACTTTCGTAAAAAAACCGCTCGGCTAGCGAATCGTTGCGACTGGCGATTTGCGAATTGCGCACGGCGAATTGACCACTTTTTCCCCCACGCTATTCACAAATATATAAATCATGAATTGCGCATAATGAGGCGCTAGATTTATATGTATGGTATATGGATGAAACGCGAGAGATGGGATACAACCTTACCGCTAGAAAGTACGAGAATTTATTCGCGTCAGTATCGCATATACGTATCCGTTTCGCGATCGAGTCGCGGACGCGAACTGTTGACATTATAATTCCGCAAATCATTTCCGGCGCGCGTATTGAATACAAAGACATTAAGCGATTGCGGCTCCATAAGGCGCGTGGCGCAATGGAGGTGTGCCACAAATAGTTGAAAATTGTTAGGAGTCTCTAGGCCCAGTTTCATAGTGGCTAGTTAGCTTAACTAGTTGTTAAGTAATGATGCCACTGAAACAAAATTCTATTTACACGGTTAGATTTGGACAAGTTGCACCAGAGAGAAACCTGAGAGCGGCCACGCCGGCGTTTCACTTGATACCGTTTCAAAACACTGTTTTGCGCGCCTTCACGCCCATTTTTACTTTTGAAACTATTTTTGTATACTTCTTCTGACACTGCCGATAAAGTCTCCACTTTGTCCGTGTCCATGCTACGCCTATTTTTCAGGATTGTGCTGTGAAATTCAAAATTATATCAACCAAAATTATCTGCATGATATTTACATCAACTTTTCTCATGTGGACAATGTAAATTTTATAAATTAGATGTCGGAATGCATAGCACAGACATGCACCAAGTGGAAATTTTATCGGCAAAGTCAGAAATTGCGTAATGAAATAAAAATGGACGGAAAAGCGCGCAAAACAGTCTCCCGAAACGGTATCAAGTAAAACGCCGGCGTGGCTGCTCTCAGGTTTTTCTCTGGTTGCACTTTCGCAAACAAGCTTTATTTATATATATATATATTATATACATATGTATATATATGTGTATATATATATAACCTAGTAAATAGCTTACCAAATATTTTATCAGTAGTTGACATCACTATAACTTAACAACCAGATAAGCTAACTAGCCACTGTGAAACTGGTAAATACATATATGTATATAGATATATACATACATATGTGTGTGTGTGTGTGTGTGTGTGTGCGTATTATTTACATTTATTCATAAATAGAGCTTAAAAAAGCAGTAAGGAGACAAAAACTTTGGGTAAGAAACCTCGGTGAAAAACGTGTTCCTTACTCTCCGGAAATAGGTGTCACCATTAATTATTCAGAGTTCCAGCTTCAAAACTTTATATTTAATATAATTTGGATGCCATTTATTACAACCTTTGAAGCACGGCTTTAAAAACTCAGCACCAAAGTTACTAAAATTAGGTCTCACATTCGAAGTTCTATGCCAGTTTTATTTTTGATCCACGAAATAACAACAGCTCATAACTACAGTCGAAACAGCTTTTTGCACTCTCATGAATTATTTTTAAAAAAAACGTTGAATATTTCGAAATAAAAAACAATTTCTTACCCAAAAATACTGATTTTTTACTTAAGGGGTTACACCAGTCTAGAATTTTCAAAAAATGCAAAATTTTTTTTTCGCTAAAAGTGTACTTTATAGTGTTAAGAATAAGGTATACTTGGTCTTAAAGATTCATCATCGGCCGATGAACCGGTATGAAGCGGAAGGCTGTTCGGATAATGAGCACCTCCGCCAAGAAGCTGTGAATGTCTGCGGACAACGACGACATTGAAGTAAATCAATCGTTCGGTTTTTTATTTCTTTTTTATAATTTTATTTATATTTATAATTTTATAATTTATATTATAAATATAAATTATCGTTTAATTAATTTCGTGGCTGTTTTCTCTGTTATTTCGGATAATGTTGTATGTAAAAAGTGCGGAACAAATGTGTCGTTCACCGAGACGGCTAAACGTGACCTGGGATTTAAAATCGTTATTTCTTGTGAAAAAGGTGAAAACATTTGTATTCCGAACAGTCCATTTATTGATAAAGGATACGAAATTAATCGCCGAATTATATTAGCAATGCGTTTATTAGGAATTGGTTTCAATGGCATTGTGAAGTGTTGCGCTTTTATGCTGCGAGGGAGGCCCGACAATCATTAAAATCAACCAGAAAAGAAAAAGAGGATGAAGATTTAAACCTAGAAGGACAGCTTTATGGTGCAGGCATAGCAGACTAAAGGTACGTTGGGTTAAAATTCAAAAATTTGTGCATTATGTTAAAAAAAATGTTACTTGAAACTTTAAACGCGTTTTTCTCAGAACAGCTTTTTTCAAATTGGCTTGCAGCATAACTCGAACAATTTTCATCCAAATCACTTCAAGTTTGCGGCAAATTGCGACTAACTAAATTCTGCACAGAAGTACGTAGCCGTTTTTCGATATGTTTAAAACTTTTCTTTTTATAAACAATTCTATACGACAATTTTTGGCCAAAAAATTGACTTTTTTTCAGAGGCTTGCCATTTCCAAACCGTCATTTTAAAAATTCCCTACGTATTTCTCTAGCTATTTTCATAAAAAAGAAGGAAATTTTTGGTTTTTTGTTCTAGGATAAAATTTGTGGACGTTAGGCTGCAAGCCCCGGAGCACCTCTCGCAGAGCAGCCATCCAGTGACCGGACCCTCACACTGCCATTTTTAATGATAAATGCACGAAAAAAATTAATTTTCATACTACAATATATGTATAATAAAGCCATGAAATTAGTTTTAATCTTAAACTTTATTTTACATGTAAAAAAATTCCCGAAATTAATCTTGCGCAAGACTGTCTAGACTGGTGTAACCCCTTAATTTCTTATCACACTCTTTAAAAAGTCAGTGTGTTTAGATCTCTACTCATAAAAACACACACACATATAATTATTGTACATTTTTTAAAGTATATACATATATTACATTAATTATCATGTTTATACATTTTATACATTGATAAATATTTATATACACCTGGTACACGTAATACTCGTGTTATGAATATTCCAGCTATATGTATACAGGGTCTTTCTAATAAAAAGTCCACTTAATCTTACAAATATGCCGCTACAATAGTGTCCCAACTTTTGTAAATACTCGTGCATACGTGAAAACTCCAAGGAGAATTCAAAATCAAGTTAAACTATTAATAGAACTCTTTATTATAGTAACAGAGATTCTTCAGACTAAAACCTAATCTACAATGTGCTTTCTGCGTCTAGAAACATTCTATTTTACATAAACAAATCAAAACGCTTGAAAAATATGTCAACAATGTACGATTATACAATGTATAATATCCAATTTACCAACTCGCACAAAGTTTTTAAACGTATTCATTGGCAAATATCTACAAAATAGAACGTTTCTAAATGCAGAGAGCGCATTGTAGATTAGGCAAATTTCAATCAAGTAGAAAAGTTCTTTACCACTTTTGTCTCCAATAAACAGTTATCGAGATAGCGACATCTAAATATTTAAAAAAATATCAAGTTTTCCACAAAAATTTCAAAAAATATTACGTAAATAAAAAATGTTTCAGACAAAAGTTTGTTTTTTTTTACGTAAAATAAGATGCCGTTAAAAACATAGGTTTTCTATAAAAAAAATTAAGTTGATCTCGAAATAATCTTGAAAGCGTCCAGCAAATCAGAAATAAATAACGCTGTTATATTTTCCTCTCGAAACCATCCAATTTTAAGTAATTTCCTTTTAAACGCGTAGTTTTTGGAAAAATCAGGATGGATTTTCTATCGGAAACACCCTGTATATCATGTGTGTATATAAAAGTACGTTTTATATATATGTGTATATATCATAAATATACTTTCTTCACTTTACAAAGCCGACGGAGAGCATCGACGCACTCTTCCGAAACACGCACACACAACTGTCACGTAGAGTGACGTAGTACGAACCGACTCAACGGATGTGTACAATCGCGGGACGATCGATAGATGTGCTACGGTGCGACTTGTCAGCCGGGAAATAGATAGAGGCACATTTACGTACTGGCTACGCTTTAAAACCGGAGCGGGCAGCGCACCGGCCGAATAGAGGTGTCCCGTTCGTGCTGTCGGCTGCTGGGGTAGCAACGTGACCGTCATAGCCGAAAGCTCGCAGACGACTGCCTCTCGTGCACGAGCAGCACGAGAACTCTGGGCAACTGAATGTCAGTGGTGTCTCGCTTTCACGCCGCCGAGCCGCGGCGGATATCCGTGCATCGTGGCTCGCTCTGGAAATTAGAGACCCCGATTCCATCGACTAACTTCGTGTTACGGGGCGACTTCGACCGAACGTGAATCTAATTTAACTTGAACCGGCGGTGGGGAGGTAGGGTACGAGTGGGCCTTTGCAGTGAAATTTTCGACTGCACAATTCACGCTCGCCCAACGACGTGTCCAACAGTATAAAAGTTGAGAAAAAGTTGAAACAATTATTAGACGACCTAGTCGGCAGGTGGTTCATTAAATTAATCCAACGTTTCGGCTGTCCGATTTGTCGTTTTCGAGGCATACATCAGACTTTGCGTTATCATTGAGTCTGTAATAGATAGTATGTCAAAAATAGAAAATGTAAAAATTACATAATGTCCGCTGATTAGTCGTCGGTTGGCGGAGTGTGTGTTACAAGCACGTCTATGCAGCTAACAGTAGTAGTGAAAATTTTATATTTTTTATCCTCGCCAGTAAAACCATAACATAACTTTAAGTCCACTGAGTCATTTCTTTCGTTTTGCGTCGATTCCTTCTGCGCACCCGACATTGTTCTGGGTAAACCAATGAGAGAATAGTTGTATGTGGGGTAGTGTGGCTTTGACGTATACGCACACACGCGTGCGCGCGCGCGTCGCTGGGTCTTGCCCGGGTGTATTGCGGAATACCACGGGACCGCAATGATCAAAGGAGCCGACAGAGAGTGGACCTACTAGTTATACTGTGGTAAAACGCTCAGTAAGAAATAATTCGTCGATCGAGGTATAATCCACGTCAATTTGTTGGTGCCGATGTCGATTCGACAGCATTTCGACATCGATCGTCGAATCATTTCTCACTGGGCGGTGCACAAATGTCGCTCGATTCCCTAGCGGAAACAATTTCTATATATAACTACAAAAATTGACTTGAAATAGAAATTTGTAGAAATTTTTATATCTTCGTTGAAACGTTAATTTTTTTTGTAGAAGTATCTACGAAATAGAGAGTACCACAAATTACGATGTTCTCAAATCAAGAAATTATTCCAAGTAGTATTTCATGAAAATGTACAATTTTGTAAAAATTAGTACAATAGTTTACTAGTTTTAAAAATTTATAAAATAAACACCATTGCAACAGCATATTCCTGAGACTAAATCAAGTAAAAAAGTCCTGTACTACTTTTCCCTCCGACAAACAGTTATCGAGAGATTATAAACTAAACATTGAAAAAGTTATAAAATTTTCTCTTGAATATCTCAAAAAGTATTAGGCAAATCAAAAAATGTTTCAGACAAAAGTTGTTCATATTAATTAGTAGAATAAAATAGTATAATAAACAATAGGGAGTTCCATTTAAAAAAATGGCGGCAACCTCCATATAATCATAAAAAATTAATTTTTTTGGAACATTAATTTTACCATTATATAGCCCTTTTAAAACCGTACAACTTTCGTCTGAAACATTTTTCCGTATCTCCCATATTTTTCGAGATATTTTACCGGTCCGGTACTTTTCCCTCACCCTGTATTATAAAATGTTAACAATATGATTCAGATTGAACGTTTCGGTCAACGCATGTGACCCTCTTCAGCAATACAATATCTAATACATAATCATAAACAAAGCGGATTTATGCGAGAAAATCACCTATAATGTACGCACGTTCGAAAAATATGTAGAAGGGTTGGTCGGTTATGTATTTACTTTCCATCGTGCCCCCAATTACAGTGCATGTCGACGGTCCGATACTTCCTTTGGTATCGGAGGGGTTGTCTAACAGTATAAAAAGGAAAAGATATTATAGAAAATCGAGATATCATAACTAAATATTGAAAAAGCTATAAGTTTTCTCTTGAGTATCTCAAAAAGTATTGGGCAAATCAAAAAATATTTCAGACAAAAGTTGTTCATATTAATTAGTAGAATAAGATAGTATAATAAACAATAGGGGGTTCCATTAAAAAAATTGAAGGTGACCTTCACGTGACCTTCAAGCAACTATTTAAGGTCAAATTAATGACACCATCTTATTTCCCCCTCGAAACCCAACAACTTTTTCTCGGGTCATTTTTTGCTAGTCCCATTCCCCGAAGAGATATTTGCGTGGATCATTTCAAATAAGACACCCCGTATGAAGGTCTGATGTGCTGTGAACTTTAGTCTATGTTATACTGTATAATATTTTCAAACGTGCGTAAATTATAGGTGAGTGTTTCTCGCATATAAGTCTGCTATAATCAAACACTGTAATGACTCATCGTTTTTAAATAATTTAGACCGATTGTTTATGTATTAGATATTGTGTTGCTGAAGAGGATCACATGCGTAGACTGAAACGTTAAATATAAATCATATTGTTACCATTTTATAATATATGTTACACTAGAACTCACCGATACATAATTTATTGCCTTCGTTCAGGTGACGGCTCACATTGCCCGTACTAATCTTTTACTGTTCTAATTAACACCAATTTTTAATTTTAATATATTTTTTTGTAGAATTTTGTAGAATTATTTCCCGCAGGGTAAGATCGTTGCTTATTGTTAGTCGAAATCAGTCTGAACCGGTCCATCGTTTTCCTCCGAGAAAACGGACCGTGGTAGACTCTCGTATAGCGCAGTTTTCTACGACGTTCGTGGCAGACCTCGTATTATAGCGGAAAATTGCTGCCTTAAGTGCGCAGTACTTTTTTCTAAACTATGCGATTAGCGCAATTTTGCACAATTGCCGGGTACTGGTTGCAGCGTCGTCGGCAACTATTACTGCGGTCTAACTCGTCAATAGTTTAATAACGCAAGTCGACTTATAACATTTCTATTGTTCCTTTTTTTGTTGTTGCAAAAGAAGGATATATATAAGACAATTGCTAATAGAATTCACGTATGAAGGTAAACAAATTAAAAATATGTAAAAAAGCCAATTAAGAGAACGAGCTAAGTGAAGGTGATAGAATGATGTTTAAGAGTAAAAAACAAAAACTGCGAACGTTTCGTCAGCACAGTGCCTTTATCAGCACTCAATAATATAAATTGTTAATGGTAATCCATCAATAAATTGTTAACTGGCTAAATCTTCAAGCGCTGAATTTTTGGAATTTTTTCTTAACGGGAAAATATGCGGGACGAGAGCCGGGATCGAACCGAGGCTCCTATCATTACTAATCACTCGTGTTAGCAGAGCTACACGTCATTTCAATCGAGCCTCCGTGCCCTTTGAACAGTAAATAAATATTAACCAGATGGCAGCCGTCATGGACGATGTCGATTATAACTCCGATTTGACTGATTTTCGTGACAATATAGGAAAATAGCAACGAGTTTTTATAGCCAAACTTTTGAATAATTTGATAGCTACTGTTAAGAAATCACTTTTTTCAAAATGGAGTTTTTTTTACTTACATCACTCTCGTACGGAAGCTCTCAATTTTATTAAATGTAAAGTTTTGTGTATTTTCTAATCACTCCTCATTAATAGTAACACTTCGCTCATCGTGAACTAAATAAAATATTTTTATCAATGCTCGCAAAATAAAATATCTACAGATAATTTCTCAATGCAGTATTATTAGGTCTTATATGGAAGTTTATACGGTGGAGTTTGCGGGTCAAAAATTTAAAGAAGTCTGCATACTCTACGCCTTTTGCGGTAACTGCGCGATTCATTCGACACTTGCTAGGCGCCACCTTAGAAAGAATTTTGGGTCTCGTTCTTTCAGCCGTTGTTTTGCCTACGTTTTCAGATAAGACGACAAAGTTCACTTGCGTCACTGTATGCAAAAGAAGCAGTGGTAACCACAAGAATTGTGTGTGGCACATATGGTGAGGGAGTAAGCACGCGTGACAAATAGTGCAGGTCCTTCTGGAATATAAATTTCAATTTTAACGAAAACTGAGTTGACGACTTCGCCGCAAAGCCAGCGATTGTGGCATTCATTTGCTGCCAGAACATTAAAGTTGTTGAGAGCTGTGAAAAATACTTTGAATAAAATACATTGCAATTATTACCTATTTTTACAAGTGTTTCAATTTGTCCAAAAACCTTACGGACTCGCGCGTAAATTTAAACGCAGACAACACGCATATCTAAAAGACATTTTAAGAACGTCTTAAGGCCAATTAACGTTCTCTATTAATATTCGTTACATAAATATACAAACACACATTCACGACGGCTCGTGGGGAATGCCGAAACGTTCGGCTCGTCATAAATATCTCGGCGTTCCATTAAATCAACTTTTTTCTTTTCACAGTGACAAACCTATGAGCCTACATTTGATATATCGTTTGATATAAATCTCAATATATGCAAGACTTCGTTACGCGAGCATTTACAGCCTATATACAGAGAGAGCGAAAGAGAGAGAGGAAGAGGGGCTGGGACTGGATTAAACGCCGACTGTCCTCCGCCTTCGATTTTACTCTCGTCGCTTTACCTTCTAGAACGACGAATAATTTCGATTCGAATTTACTCCAAGCGATAACGATGTCGACACGCATGTATATGCGGGCTCGTACGTGTACGCGGTCGGCCCACTTGAAATGCCGAATGGTCACACGCGGAAAGTCCAAATCAACATAAACATCCTGACGTTTCGTTGACCAAACGGTTTTACATATTCTCTTTACATTTTATTTATTTGTTTATAATGCACGCGCGCGTCTTGCATAATTTTTTTCCTTCGAATTTGTAATTTCGGACAATTTCCGACGTCTCTTGATACACAACCCAAATAACATGCATGTCTAAAAGACATCTTTAAGATGTCTTTAACACGTCTTTTAGACGTCTTTTAGACATACACGTCTAAAAGATATCTTAAAGACGTCTTAAAGAAGTCTTGAAGATGTCTTTTAGAGAAGCATGTTATCTGGGAAGTCACTTTTGGAATACAGAGGCGACCGTCCGGGAAGAAGTTGCTGAAGGAAAAGAAGAGAATCCCCGACGTCACGGCGACTCGTCGCCCCGTCGTCTCAACGGAGTTTTCGATGAAACAAGACGTTCGATTAGTCAGTGCGATAAATAATTAGTTTTCACGTCTTTCTTATCGGGCTTATCGGGCCGGGATGGAAGCTCGGAAAATAACCGGCGATTCACAACTGGTTCTCCGCCGGCACGTTATCATGTCCGCAATGTTGTTGAGAAAAATCGGCTCTACAACGCGAAACTTCGTACGCCTTAACGTGGACGAACGCGGACAAGGACATTTATTCCCCTCTTTCCTCTTCTTACTTTCCTGTTTGTTTTTTACGAATTTCCGTATCCCGGAACCGAGTGTCCGCCAACATACGGTTTTTTCTCCCCCTCTACTCTTCCTCTTCCTTGAAGACAGTGAGAAATGATAGTCGAATCGATGTCACAAGTACCAATACGATGTCAAATGACGTTTTAATGACATATTATCAACATTAGAGACGTAACTAATGTGACAAGATATCATTTCATGTCATTTTGCTGCTTAGGATAAAATACATTGAATTGACATCTTTTCGACCTATCATTTCTCATTTGTAGACTTCTCAGCGAGAAATGACTTGTCGATCGATGTTGAAACGCTGTGGAAACGATGTCGAATCAAATTGATGTCAAATTGACATCGTTCCGACGAATCATTTCTCGCTAGGTTGTTGCGTGTCGTATTAACGTTACTAAAATTTGATATATTAAACGCGGTGCACCGTTGCGTGTCAAAATTTTTATACAATGATACACGAAGACACGTGTGTCTCATACGTCATCACGGAACTGATATACATATAATGATGGGATTCAATACTTACAGGCAGTTTCGAATAAAAACAATATTTTCACTACCCAGTCAACAAAATGTTAGCAGATTGGCAGGAGATTTATCAGAAACCGATACCAAAACCATAGCCATCTGTGTCCGCATTTGGCTTTTATTTTGGCAACAGAGTCTGTAAAGCATACGCTGTCAACAAATTGTCGGCAGAAACTGAACAGATCCAGTTATGTAAGCAGATCTTGTTGTATTTCTGCTGGCAACATGTGATCGAATATATCAGTTCCTGTATACAATCTGCAGTCTTTCTGCCTTCAAAATTTGTAGTAGACATCTGACGAAATCTGTTCAAATATATTTGGCTATCTAGGTCCACTCGAATCTGCAGTGAGTTTGAATAATCCTTTCACGAATATCTCGTAGAAAAGAAAAAAAAACAAGAATTTGTTATCTCCAAGAGAAGAATATAAACTCGAATCTGGATGAAATGTATTCGAATTTTTACTAGAAATTTAATATTTGAAACGTAATGTATGTGTGTATACGTGTATATATATATATATATATATATATATATATATAGACATAAATATCTCCTATTTATTTCAATTTTATAGTAATTGATATATTAAGGTAACATATTTAAGTATTAAAACTTGTAAAAGATTCGATTCTTTACGATAGAAATTACGTACAAATATTTTGACTTAAAAAACAAACACAGTTTAATGGAATACGAAACTCTAGATATGCAAAAAAGGTATAAGAAATTTTGTTTTTGTTAACTTTTGTTAAAGGGTTTCCAGAATATTTAAGAAAACAAGGGAAAAAAAGACAATAAGAAAATTCTCGCGAGATTTAGATATGAAGTACTTATAATTAGTAATACGTTCTGATGAGTTCAGGGGAAAATTATTTGCTTTGGATATGTCAGAGGAGAGACGCCGAGATTCTAGAACCTTGCAACAAGTTTCATTGCAGAGATAAGAAGTGACACGGGAACGGCGCAATTATTGGCGAAGGAAATCAACTGAATGAAAAAAACTCATTAAAATAAGGAGAGGGAATTAAATCAAAACAAAACAATTAAGGCTAAAGAATCTCCCGGAAACGGAAAAAAATATATAGCTGCCATAGCTAAAAACTGCACGTGGCAACTAAATTTTAGTTAACATCTAAAGTGATTTTTGTCGACCCAACTGGCAGGAAACTTTATTCGTGAATCTTACATCCACGAAGTTTTGATCATCCGGATTGTGGTCCTTATCAAGTGATTAGTAATAGTTAAAATTCTTATTGCGAAAAAATATTACCCCAGCCAGGATTCGAACCTGAGTAATATCGCGAAATTGTGATTATCCTATCGTATGTCGACCTCTGTCCTTACCTCGTTCTTATCGTGTACTGGTAAAAAATTGACCTTGATACAAAATAATTTATTCAAGTTTTCCGTTATTTTTCGATTTTTCGAGAATTAAAATATGGAATACTTATATAAGCACGACCAAATTTAACCGTACAGAAGTTTCCCTCAAATGCCAAGCATTACCTTCATTATACATATGTTAATAACTGCGGAGCAGCTATTATTGGTAGCGGACTATGAATTTTTAAACACCTCTCGAACGCCATTTACCTTGACATAATTATAAATTATTAATGTTCGTAATTAATATTCATACTTCCTTCGATTATGTCGAAATTTGATCTGCGTCACTCGAGATCGTCGGATACACCGGACGAGCCAGTATACCAAAATGTAAATGGGACCTTTATAACAACTAATAAGTCACAGCAGTATGAAGGCAGAGAGTCACGGAATTTCATATTTAACAGATAAGAAAATTGTAGCAACACACATATAAAATGTACTTTTCTCTTCTTAACTCGCGTCATATTTATCTTGCTGTAATTTAATTAACAAAATGAATAAGTAAAATCTCATTTTTAAATTTTTTCTGAAAAAATCGTGGTAAATGTTAGTTACTAATTTTTGCTACTGAATACTGATCCTCGCGAATACATGTTCGTGCGACGTTCATCTAAAATATATCACGTCTACAAAAGTAAGGAATATTGAGCATTTAAAATGTATAAACGCGCGTATATTTATGCCACCGTACACATACACATTACAGACACATAACATTTGATTATTCAACAAGTTTTTAATTGTTGCTCTGCACCTTTATACTTTCTGGGTATAAACTTTACGCTTTAAACAAATAATGGGAAGAAAATTTAGGAAGCATTAAGAGTTGAGCAGCAACGTGCTCTATTACAAAATAACTAATAATTACTCTACACAATAGATAATCCATCAGCATTTGACTGAAAGTGGAGAAGGATTATATTATTATGAATTGCTTCTACAAAATAGGAACAAATATATATTTCATAGGTGAACTCATAAAAAATATTTTGCCGTTTATCATATAAAAAACACTAAATTACATCGAGTTAAAATATCAGTTGCCTACTGTTTATGATAACAATTTATAACTATAAATAAATTGAGGAATCGAAGGGATTATAACGTTGATTTGAAGGTAATAACAATATAAGTTGATTTTATTTATAACTTATTAGAAATAATCAGAATTGAAATTCTTTTAATGTTTTATTTTATACTTCACTTTATTTCAACTTGCCAATTTTGTTCACAATCAAAACTGTTATGGCTCAATTCCTCAATTTATAAATTCACTGTTCAATTCCTTAATTTATGAATTATGTAATACCTGTTTTTGTGTTTTGTACTTCCAGTCTTGTAATCATGTATATGACTGCAAATGATTGGATAGGACTAGCAACTGTTTTGGCTCACTATTTCTATCTTAATTAATTACTTATATTTTGTTCAGATTCGTAAATTATATGGAAAAAAAACTCTAATGACATATGACATAATATTGAATAACATTTTAGAATAAACAAAGAAAAAATATAAATTGCTGGTAATGTAATAATTAATAGTGACGCAAACTTGTCATCGATATGGAAATTGCCTCCCCTCTATTCTATCGCGTACCTGCAAATAATTTTCAAAGAAAATGCGGACATATTATTGAAAATATCAGATATACACCATTAAAATAATCATATTCGTTAATGTTTTAGAAATTATTATACGTGTGTATACTTATGGTCAATTTTGAATGATTACATTTTCGAAATTGTGCATAATGTGATAAATAGATAATAAAAATAAATCGTAATTTGCATTTGGCGACTCGTCAAAAATATGGACAATTTTTTTCACGTTTAAAATTACATTTTCTAGATATGTAATTCGTACTTTAGACCATTCTGCATTTATGTGAATATACAAATTATATAAATACCATTGCATTATGAATATCCTCATGAGGCCCCTTGGATTTAGGCGGTAATTTCGGCAAAAGTGCATTAACATTTATATCAATTTTAGGATCTTTCTCTTTAATCTGCTTCACAGTTTGCTGACAAACTTTTATTACCGACTCTGCATTCAGGCGACGGTCATCACTCCACAATGGACAGCTATGTTTAAAAAAAAAACCGTAAGATAAGATAATGTTGACCCGATTGCACGCTGATATCTAATTAATTACATGTCAAAACTTACAGACTGGAATTTTCTGCTCCTTGACCCTGAAAGTGCCTATAATCGGTCACTGGTTTGTCACAAATGTAACACATCTGCGCGCCACATAAACAAGTCATTTTATTACAGCCTTCCTCCTTGAAAAACGTTCGGCTGCATCTAAAGCATTTTCGGACCAGAGCTTCGGTCATTCTCTCTTCCAAGAACAAACGTGCAGACTCAGTTTTCTTTTCGTTGCATTTTAGAGGTATATGGTTAAGTTCCTTGCATAATCTAATACGAAAACAATTGATTAGTGCAGTTTATGTGCAGTCATATGCTTATTCCTTAATATCTTTTCCAAGTGCTGAACTAACTAGTACTTTGAAATGCAGTATCCTAAACTGTTTTGGAACTTATAATCTTCACTTGACACTTTCATTTGACCATAGGATTTCATGACAACAAAAATCGATTAAATCAAAATTGCACAGTAATAACGTTAGGATTAGACTTACGGGCAAGATTCTTTCATGCATTCCGGATTGAGGCATCTAAAAACCTTATCTTCCGGTGGTGGTATAGATGCAAAGTGACAGAATGGACATGACACTAAGCCTTCGACTCCAGCGGCCATTACCTCCGCTTCTTGCCGCTTGCAAAGCAGTATACTGAATTTTGTCGGTGGTAACACTCGCTGAAGCACAGATATAGGAAACTCACATCCGCAGTTTAACAAGCAGTCCACACGTGTGTTGCCGTCTCCTAGGACCACGTCCGTGCCCCGTACTATGCACGAATTGCAAAATACGTGGCCATCTTCACACGTGGAGCACTTTGATGGCATACATTCGTTGTCGAAGCAGCAGTGACATTCGAGCAATTCATTTTTTAACTGAAAGAAAGAAATACAAAAACTAACAATCCATCTAAAGAGCAAAATAGTTTTGATTCCCATTTTAGAACATTTCGTACTTTAAGCTCATTAAATTCCTGTTCTTCTTTTTCTTTCATTTCATTCAAATAAAGTCTCAGTTCTGTTTTATGTTGTATAAAAGCACATTCTTGAAGGAACGGTATATCCTCTGTTAGACCCATCTTGTTGTATTTACTTAGTCGTCTACTTTTCATATCGGGGTTTAACGCTTCCAAGGCCTTTGCAGTTAAGCTTAAATTATGCATACCATTAGTGTATGCGTTCAGCAACGTGTTCACCTGCAGAGAATAAATTTAATAGTACATTATTTAAGATCGAGATGTTAGACAACATAACGACAAAACAGTGGTATTAAATCTCTCTACTACTTTATACATGTATCAGAAACTTTTTATGGAAAAATATTATTTCAGTACGATAAAGTAACAAAAAAAACAAATGTAAATCAAAGCAAGGTAATAGATTACGCTACTGAGTTTCGTAGAGAAGAAATACAATAATAATAAACTTAGAAATTTTAACTGTGACGCAACAACAATCGAAAATCCATAATCAGGAATTAAAATTAATGATGCACTCGAGAGAAATCTGAACGTGTATCTTAAATTAAGCAATTACCCTCATTTTGCTGAAGTAATATTTCAGAAAATCTATCGCATGCGCATTAAATTGACAAATCCTCTTGTCGTTCTCGAAGTATGCAAATGGATCTGGAAATATCTCCAAAAACTGCTCAACTTTGAAATCCGTAGTGTACTGCTTCTGCTGTTCCGTAATCTTCTTCCTAGCCAGATATTGCGCCCTTGTTGGATAATCTGGCTTTTCCAATGTCGTTTGGACAAACTTTTTAATTTCTTCGTTATCGCCGTGCATGTCCTCGACGACTTTTCTTAAATAAACAGGATCTGCTTCAGGGAATATCGTCAACAAGTCAGCGTATTGCTCATTCATGTCGTAAGATGGATCGACCTCTTCCACCACTGGAGCTGGCTTGATCGGTTTCAGATTATATTGGCCACAACTGAGCAGTGTCTCAATCAAGCCCTCCAACAACGACTCTTCCTTAAAATTATTGTATTCTTTAACATAATCGTGACATAACTCTTTAATAAATCGAGTTTTTACAGTTGAGAACATGGGCAATAATTTCAGGTAGATATTATTAGCCCTCTCATTTAATACTATTTTTCTGTGAGTATTTTTTTCGTTAGGAAACACTCCTTTGCCCTCCTTTCCTTTGCTTGTGGCGCCACTGGAGTTTCCAGCGTTTTGTTCATCTGCTGTGCTTTTTACCTCCAACTTCACTTTCACTTCCTCTGTACCTATCTGTGCTATGTCATTGTATTTTATTGTGCTTAACATTTGAGGTCTAGAACCCACCGGTGGCACAAAATGCTGCAAAGAAAATTACCAATTAACATCTAATTACGTTAATAAGAAAGCTACACAATATCTGTCATAATGATCAATTTGAAACATAAACCGAGTCTATCGTAAGCTTACGAGAGCTCCTGAAACGTGAGCTCGTAGAGGAAATTTACAGAGGCGAGAATAAATTGAAAACTCCAACCTGCGCAACATTCGGGCTCCGTACTGATTTTCTGAGCATCATTAATATTACACGTCCCTTACGACTTTAACGTGTCGATTGTAGAACTGGAACTGCGTAAGACAGCGGATCAACACCGTCACGTGGAAAAATTTGAATAATCGGTTGAAATTGAACACGCGACACGACCGACGTTAAACACGACGTGTAAAGACACGGGGATGCGCGTATCGCCGCGGAAAAGGGCATCGTAACACATAAATATAAATATTGCTCTCGCGAGCACTCTCGGTCGAGCGGTAACGTTTGAAAACAACGCAGCATGTTCCGCATCATCCACTACCCCCCGCCCCTCTCGTAAATTTTCCATTTTCCGAAAATCGAAGACGGGACGCACGTTTCCAGGTGAATTTGGTAAAACTGCGCCAAAAGTACACGCGCGTGTTTACCTCTTCACTTCCCCTGTTGCCGATCTGAGATGTACTCGCGATGCCCGCTTCCTGAACGTTGTAACAAGCCATGCTGCCGCCCGCTCTTTGGCGGTCCGCCACGTTTACACCGGCTGCTTCTCCAGTTGCCGCTCGGAATATATCGGAAGAGAACATATCCTGGGCGCAGAATTCGCCAAAATGCGGGGCGTAAGGATTAGCATTTATCATGTCCGCGCTCGTCGGCCGCTCTAACGCGCCGCGCGAGACTGCTCGCACTGCCGTCCGAGGAGACAGTGGTACATCGCGAGATGCGCTTTTGTCATTTGATGGGCCCGGTAACCTTGACAAAGCCTCTGCACTCACAGACACATTCGATCCGTATTCGCCAAACGGCGATCGTAACGCGTCCACATATTGCCGTACTCGTTTCATTTTCTCATAATGGCAGTCAAATGTCAGCGGCCCCGGGACCAATTGTAACTTTGGCGGTGATAAAATAGGAACTGGCGGTTTGAAATTAGCATTTAACGGGGGTTGCGCGTGGGAACCTAAGAACTTGGCTGGCTGCAACACCCTCGATGTAGAAGGCAAGGCTGCGTTGTCGGGATGATAATTCTTCGTGGGTTCTGAATAGCTATCAGTCCATGGCTTGAAATAAACTAATGGTTCTTCTTTCCAGTGTTTCACAACTTGCAGCTTGCGATAATTAGAGTAGCCTAAAAATGAGTTTGGCGATAAAGGCTTAACATCTTCAAGACATCTTAAGCATTCTTCCGGAATACACAATTCCACGTCTACACTTCAGCAAAATCGAATAAAACTTATACAGAGTGATCTTTCGTTGCTCCAGCCGATTCGGAGAAAACTTTAGATTAAAGTTAGCACACACTAGCCTAGTAAAACTGTGCACTAATATCTGATTAGAGCAACAAAATTGAAGAACCGTCTTCAATCGAGATATCTGATGAGGGCACAGGTGTTGTGCTGGCGTAGGATAGCTATGGGTGGTTCTCGAGGGTTAGGGGTGAAGCAACGAAATCAGATTCATCACGAGTGGCGTGCAACAAAATCGATGAACAGTCTTCAATCGAAATATCTCATTAATTCAGTTTTAAGGTGTTGTGCCGGTGTAGGAGAGCTAGGGGGTGGTTTTCGAGGGTTAGGGGTGGAGCAACAAAATCAAGAATACAATAACTAATTAGCAACAAATTTGCTCTAAAAAATATGTTGTTTTTTTATTTCTTTTTTTAAATATATGTTTTTTATGAGTGTTTAATCTAAAGTTAGCACAACCACTATTTTCTCCGAGTCAGCTAGAGCAACAAAATCGGGAATTGAGCAACAAATTAGCAACAAAAGAGCACAAAATTTCTGTACAAGTTTCATTCGATTGTGCTGAAGTGGCTGTGTCAGCTTAATAGACGTCACAATTCCTCTTTCTTCACCGACATCGCGCACGATTGATCGGTATTGTCCTAGTTAAAATTGGCTGCGTTCAGCAGAAAAGGCTGCCTTGCAACTGTCGTAGAATTCGTGAGTCTGATTGGAGTACGCTCTCAGATTCAGCTAGGATTAAGGGAGCTTAGTATGTACCTATTTTTGAAATATTGGGAATTTATAAAAAATTTTACCCGTTGTTCGCACATGCGTATGTTCGGAGACTTGTAAAAAAAAGCGTTCGGAGTCGTTTCACTGAAGCAATCACAAATTATAAGAATTTTAACTTGCAATGAAACTTAACTGTGAAGTTAGGAAGAAAGTGTAATCGCATTGATTCACATAACTAATCCCGGTTTTTCGTCAACGTCACTTAACTTTGATCTTAGTTCAACTTATCCTTTGCCTCTTTCTAACTGTCCCCTTAGAGAGAGCGAAGGTTGAATTGAAAGAAGATCAAAGTTAAACGACGTTGGTGAAAACGGATGGAAAAATTAAAAGTACATTTCTGAATTCTTAATACAAACATTCTACGCGATAACATTCTCTTAGGCTCGGTTCCGCCAAACGTCGCTCAACTTCAATCTTGGTTTAATTCATGTTTGTCTCTTTCTAAGGTAACAGTTGGAAAGAGACAAAGAACAAATTAAGCTAAACTTAAAGTTAAAGCGACGTCGGTGAAACCGGGCCTTAGTAACATTCTACTTTATTAACGTCTGTATTTTTTTAACCGTACCTGGCATCTTTTAATAATACAGACAATTTATTGCGAAAAGGATTACCTCAGCCAGGGTTTGAATCTGAACCTCCCTACACTCTAGGCGGGCGTCTCGCCAATTCGACCACCGAGGCACATGACAATATTTGTCGCAATAACAGTATAACGATGTTGTCTACGCGTATATTTTCGATTTTTGTGAACTGCGCGTCGATAAGGGTTGTCAGCCTTTCTACTTTATTGCCCAAACTACATGAGAAGAGCATATATATTCGTCCAGGTTGTATTTAAGCTACTTTTTGCCACGATTGCACATACAAAATATTCTTTGGGCACACAACATACGCTAATCAGATTCAACATTTTTATAACAGTTGCAGAGCAGCTCCTTCCGTTGAGCGTAGCTCGGCGTAGCCACCGATCAGCGTAGCCACCGATACTCGCGACACCCTTCATTCTGTCAATCTCACTCGTGAGTGACGCAAATATCCTATCTTCGAACTTACTGGTATAGTCTTCTCTCGCACCCCTTTTTTCCTTTTTCACGACGACTCGCTTCGTACCTGTTTGATCGGGTTGCGAAGAGGCGCCGCTACTGCGTTTGCCGTAGCTTTCCGGCGGGCCGAAATTCGATTGTTTCACCGACACCGACACCGACACCGACGCTTGATCGACAACATTGTCATCTGTGTCAAAACCTACAATCGTGACAGTCTCAGTACCATCAATCAGTCATTAACGAATATTTAAACGTTCCATTTTCAAAACTTACCCATGTCGCTTTTCCTCGTACGTTGCTTTTTCTTTTTCACGATCTTTGTACCAGTCTGATCTGCTTGTGAAGAGACGCCGTTAACGCATCCTTCCGGCGCGCTGAATTTCGTTGATTCCATCGACACCGCCATCGCAAAATCGTCTTCGTCGTCTATGTTTACATCTATGTCTATGTCGTAACATACAATTGTGACAGTCACCATCATCTCAGTCGTTAACGAATATTTAAACGTTCCGTTTTCAAGCTTACCGAGGTAGTCTTCCATATGCTGCTTTTTCTTTTTCACGACCTGCTTCGTACCCATTTGATCTGCTTGCGGAGAGGCACCGCTACCGCGATCATGACTTTCTTCCGGCGCTCTGGATGTCGTTGGTTTCACCGGCACCGCCAACGCTCGATCGAAATCGTCGTCCGTGTCGAAATCTACAATTATGACA